TGATTTGATCACAAATTCCTAACTGGGCAGGTCACCAAGGAGACTCATGCCTGAGGCCTATAACTTCTTTTTTTAAAATTTTTATTGTTGAAAGTATTACGTAAGTCTCCTCTTCTCCCCATTGACCCTTCCCTCCCACTCCCACACACCCAGCACAGGCCCTCACCCCACCTAGGCCTCTAACTTCTTTAGTGAAAGCTTTTAAGCCAGCTCTGTCCATTTTTGTGTGTGCATCTTGTTTAACACACCTTTGAAATACCAGAAGTAATACCTTGAAGGGCGTATTAACCCTCAAGAGAGCACGTAATCTTGTTAACTATCCTATAATCCAATCCTGCCTTGCTTTCTCCCATCCTTAATTTCAAATCCATAAAAGAGGCTGCAAAACTTATTCTCTGAAGCCTTTGAGATCTTGCTCCTGGCATGTCATCAGTTTGGCTCAAATAAACTCTTATGAAAATTATCTACAGGTTTGGACATTTCTTACACTAATGGCACAAAAATATCTCATTAAAATTTAATCCTTCAAATATTTATTGAGGGTCTCCTAGGGATTGGGCACTAAAGCAGGTGTTAGGTGCATGGTGGGGTTTGTGAAAGAATCAAAGCCTTTGTCCTGGTGGAGACAGATAGTAAATACGAAAGCAAAAAGATGCATCATCACAAAACAGGATCAACGTGACGATGAAACAGCCAGGGTGTTTCGACAGATAATAACAAAGGTCAGAGGTGAGACCTGTTTCAAACAGTGGTTTCTCAACCTTCCTAATGCCACGACCCTTTAATACAGTTCCACATGTTGTGGTGACCCCCAACCATAAAATTATTTTCGTTACTACTTCATAACTGTAATTTTGCTACTGTTATGAATCATAATTTAAATATCTGATATGCAGGATGTATTTTCATTGTTCGCGACCCACAGGTTGAGAACCGCTGATAGAGTGTCCAGGAAGGTCCACCAAGAAAGTGACACTGGCGTTAAGACTGAAAGTAGAGTGAGCCAGGCATGCGAAGACCAGGGGGAGGGAGGGCTTCAGAAGGAAAAGGGGAGTGGACAGACCCGGCAGGTCCTGGGCACCATCAGTGAGGGGCCATTGGGCACATGTGCAGCTGCTCAGGGGGGAAGCAGGGGTGGATCATGCAGGCCTGTTCGGTCAAGATAAAGAGCTGGGATTTCATTCAAGGTAAAAGGGAAAGCCAGTGGAGGGCAATGACTTCTTTATCTTATGCTTAAAATGGGTTCTTCTGGCAACTGTGTCAAGAATGGGTTGGAAGGGACAATCGCAGATGCACAGAAACTAGTTAAGAAGCAATGCAGCCAGTCATCCAGGCTAGAGGTGTGGCCAGCTTGTTCTAAGGTGGCAGCGGCAGAAAGTGCTGAGTGTCCTCCAGCTTTGGGGGCTGCCCGGAATACAAAGACAGTAAGATGCAAATTGCTGAATGGCTAGGAGAGTCCAGCCCCCTCCCTAATATTTCTGAGGAGCACGGAGCGGACGTTACATTTTCCTGGTGGTTCCTCAGCCCTTGCTCCTGCTCCCTAATCTAGACTCAGTACTTGATCCCCTCTCACTGTCCTGTGGCTGCCCCAGCTGCTGCGAACACGACTTTCCTGATTCCCTAAGGCGGCGCTAACACAAGCCTAAAGGCCTAAAGCTCCCCAGACACGGGAGAGGGTAACAAAACACCCCAGCACCTGGACAGGCAGCCTTCGCTTGATTATCCAGCATGCCTGTCGCCAGAGAGCACTCTGGGCTGTTCCCATCTCTTTCTCCTCTAGTTCCCCGGTCCAAACTCCTTCTCTTGGGCCTCCAGGAGAAAATGTAAAAGTCCCATTAGCTTCACTATAAAGAGGAAGTTACCTTTGCTACTCACTATCTCAGCCTCTCCCATCCAGATGGGGTTTGGGACTTTGCCTCTCACAAGTAGATGCCCAGGGACACTCTTTCCTGAACGAAAGGATGCGTTTTCCTTTGCTGAGGCCCTTTAATGTAGAAGCATCTGAAACTGGGTTTTTAAATTACACTTTTCCCCTCCACATTTGTATGCCCTCATTTAATCCTCATAGGAAGTAGATGTTATTTCCATTTATGAAGAAAAGCAACGCTAAAAGAGGAATAGTTTGCTGCAAGTCATACAACCAGTAAGGAACGAGCAGACAATTCATGACTGAATCCAGCCTGGAAGCTGGCAGACGCCTCCCCACCCCCAGCCTACTCCAACTCCCCTGCACATAGGGTCCAAGGGCAAGGTCAAATTTCCCCTCCCAGCACCCTCCCCCCCCCCTTCTCCTCTCACTTTTGGAAATCCTCTTTCCCTAGATGACTAGCAATTCGAGAAAAAAATTTTTAGAGTTTGTATGACCAAAAAGTGTGTTCTAACTTAGTGCCACTTTTCCTCCTGAGAATAAGGTGGTTATTTTTTTTTCCTCTAAAGGACAAATGGTGTGTGCCCAGGAGATGGTACGTTATTCAAATTCATTGTGTCTGACTTTAAATAAGAAGCAATCGTTTCCTAGGGATGCCTCAAGTGAAGTGATGCCAGACGGCAATTCCTTGTATTCTCCTCAGGGAGCTTAAGGGACAGAATGGTCAGAGCTCAGAAAACTTCCTCCAATTAAGCTAAACTCACACCTCAGTGGGAAATAGGAAGCAAAAATACTAGCAAAGGCTGTGGTGGTGGTCGCAGTAGTACCAAGAGGACCAGGAGGAGGAGGAGGAGAAATAGTCAACAGTTGCTATTACTTTGTTGCCTGCATTGGGCCAGTCTCTATATGTACTGACTTGTTTAATCCTCATGTCAACTCTATTAAGTTGTTATTATTACCCCCATTTTGCTGCTGAAGAAATCAAGTCTTAGAGAAATTATTCGACGTGCCCAAGATTAGAGGCTGTACCTTCTATTTTAAAAACACGTGGAGTTTTAAAGCTCTTCAGTCATATAAGTTGGACAGAAAACTGTGAAGCTCAGTGCCCAAAGCCTCTTCCAGATAACAGGGCATCCAGAACAGGCAAACATCAACTGGGGGCTGTTATTAAGGGTCGATGCATGAAGCAGATGACCATCACACCTACTGATAAAATTAAGGTGAAAATTAAGTTGTATTTGGGTTGTACCATTTAATCATCGAGTCTTTTTCAATTAATCATGACTGAATGGAGTTGATTGATTCATTCATTTACTCATTCATTGATTGGCTGACATACATCAAGTATTGCAAGGCTCTGAGGACACAAAGATTAATAAGAGTCTGTACTTCAAGTCCTCTGTCTCCAAGTGGTTCAAAGGCTAGAAGAGGACAACAGTCTTCACAGGGTGAGACTCTCCCCGCCGCCCCCCCCCCCTTTGCCCTCTCAAGACTCAGGTAACAGAGGGGGTCCTTCTGTCCTGTGACAGAGAGATTTCTCAGGATATGGAAAAGGATTGTGCCAGCAGTGGTATTACCTTCCCAGTTTGTTTTCAGATTTTCTGTTCTCAGGTCAAACCCATGAAGTGGCTTTCTCTTCCTCCTTTTCCAGTTTTAGGATCAGAAGCTCCCTTTTTCCTTGTCTAACTGATCTGTGGGGGGCAGAACATGATTGGCAACTAATACCTGAGGCTGAGACACAATTGCAGCTGGAACCTGTGGGGAGGTGGTGGGGCGGGGGGGTGGCTGTGAGGATGTAGGAGAAGGCAGGTAGGAGAAGGGAGGGACCATCCCAGAGGGGAGCTAGGACTTGAGAGAGAGTGCATTCTGTGCTGGGTAATGGGGGTGGCTAGAAAGGTGGTCTCAGAGAAAGATTCTGCACTCACAAATGTCGTTTTTAGCAAAATAACATTGCCGTCTTATTGAATTAATGTTGCTTATTTGAATGGCATTTAATTTGTAGCTTTAAAATGTTTGATTTATGTATTTTGGTTTACATATATAAGTAATAAACATGACTCAAATATACTTGATTTTATATATGTACTATGTAGAATTTTAATAAAAACAATACTGGTGTCCATAGGATCATTTAACTTTCTATTTTAAAATTTAAGGTATAATTTACATACAGTAAAATTAGCCCTCTTTGTACACAGTCCTATGAATTGTAAGAAATGTATATAGTCATGTCGCCATCACTACAATCTATATATATAAAAGGCTAAGTGTTCATCCTTTCCTCTGACCGGTAGCTATGATGCGCACTGACCACCAGGGGGCAGATGCTCAATGCAGGAGCTGCCATGATGTGCACTGGCCATTTACAGAGAAACGGCACCATGGACCTGGTGCCCACAAAGCAATACTTGGCTTCCCCCAAGTGGGACACAGGCCCCGCCACCACCCCGGAGTGACACCCCAGCAAATCGCAGCCAACGCTGCTGAGACCCCAGGCGCAAAATGCAGCCCACAGCCCAGCCCAGCCTGGAAATGGTCGCTGTGGGCGCTGGGTAATGACATCATGTAGCAATGCCCGACTTCCTCTCCCTAGTGACTAGCCACCTTGGAGTTTCTTCAGTCCAGGAACACAACTTGCTTTATTGCCAGGTGCAAACATTTTACACTTTACCCAAATGTCTGTGAAGCATTTTCCCGTGCCTCATTTCATTTGATCCTCACAGAAGTCCTGGAGTAGGTAGATAGGAGACTCGGTGGAATCCTATTTTCTTCTCATTTGCCGGAAAACGGAGATTTAGAAAGTTTAGAAACTTGACCTGACTGAAAAGTAAGAAATGGTGGACCTTGAAAATGACTTCAGGTTTGCTCACTGTACAGAATGTAGTCAAACACTGCTGCAGTTAAATATTTTACCCTTTGTTCTCCTTGCATGATCTATAGTAATAATCTGCTTCGTGTTGATATTTACTGCTGTGTTGCTGACAATTACCTGAAAGAGAAGTTGGGGTGCTTCACTGGGCTGGAAAAAGTTTAGCTAAATCAGAAAGTAGGACTAATTAAGCAAGTTTATTCTTTATTTGTAAAAGGTTAAGTCAACTCGCACATGCGCAATACATATAAAGCTGTCACTGGTGCCAATCACACACATCTGTTTCTATCTGTCATTGTCGATCATGAATTTGGTTGACACTTCTATTATAGAGAAAGGGAAAATAGTGATATTAAAACATTTCTTCTAATTAATTTCCTTTCAATATGCACGAATCCATGCACCAGGACACTAGTCAAAATATAAAACAGTTCCATCATTCCATAAGTGTCCCCTATGCCACTTTGTGGTTAAGCCCTTCTTCACCCCTAGTTAGCTCCTGGAAATCACCGATATGTTTTCTGTTCCTATATATGTACTTCTGCACGTATATCGTATTAATGGAATTGAACAGTAGGTAGCCTTTAAAAAAACACAAAAATATACCTAAATATCTTAATGGAAGTATAATTGACATATAATAATACATTGCACATATTTAAGGATACAATTTGATAAGTTTTGACATAGGTGTGCATTCAGGAAACCATCATCACCATAAAAATAATTAGTGTCTCCATTATTCAAAGTTACCTCATGCCACCTTGCAATCCCACTTCCCATGCCTGCCCATCCCCCTTCCCAAGCAACTACTGATCTGTAATCTTTTGTGTCTGGCTTACACTCAGCATAATAACTTTGTGACTCATGCATGTTGTGCATTTAAATAGTTCATTCCTTTTTATTGCTGAGTTGTATTTCATTTTAGGCTACATGTTATATGGTTATAACACAATTTGTCTATCCACGCATCTGCTGAAGTACATGGTTTCCAGTTGTGGACTATTACAAATAAAGCTGCTCTGAACCTTTGTGTGCAGGTCTTTATATGGGCTTGTGTTTACTTCACATGGATAAATAACTAGTAGTGAAATGGCTGAGTCATAGAAGTGTAGGCTTGACTTTTTGAGAAACTGATAAGTGGTTGTATTATTTTACATTCTCACCAGTGTATGAGGTCCAGTTCCTCCTCAACCTGGCCAACTCTTGCTTAGTCAGTCTTTTTAATAGTGATTCCTCGTGGTTTTGATTTACATTTTCCTAATGACTAATGCTGTTGAGCATCTTTTCATGTGCTTGTTTGTCATCTGTGTATCTACTTTGGTGAACTGTCTGTTCAGACCTTTTGCCTACTTTTTTTTCTTCTTTTTGTCGACTTTTTAATCCAGTTATTTCCTTGAGTTTTGGGCTCTCTGTATAGTCTTTGTATATTATATACAAGATATGTGATTTACAAATATTTTGTCCCAATGTGTGGCTTATCTTTTCATTCTGTTACCAGCATCATTTGAAGTTTTCAATTTTGATGAAACCCAACTTGCCATTTTTCTTTTATTGCTCATATTCTGGTAATATACCTAAAAAATCTTTGTCTATCCCAAGGTCACAACGTCTTTCTTGTATGTTTTTTAATGAATTGTTATAGTTCTATGTTCTACAGTTAGGTCTGAATCTCATTTGGAGTTTATTTTTTGTATAGAATGCAAATTATTGATCAAGGTTCTTTAAAAATAGTTCGTGTGAACTCATGTTTTAGAAATACTGTAAAGTTTTCTCACATTGACAAGGGAAGGGAATAGGTAGTATCAGGAAGGGAGCATTTAGCCTAGCTGGCATGGCTCAGTGGTTGAGCGTTGACCTGCCGGGAGCCGGTCCATCCTTGCTGCTTGACACAGTCGCTGCAGGAAAGAAACATCTGCACAGCATATGTTTCAAGGGACCTGGCATATATAGCATATTGTTCTTAATATGTTTGCTCTCTTTAGCGCCATGTGTTTTAACCAAGGTCACCTCTCCGAGAAAGGTTGTTTCCCCAGGTGGGGATTTTTCCCTGAGGTTAGGGAGGGGATACAACCCCTTAATTAAGTGCCAGGCGGGTAGTTAACCTACATAATCTTTACTCCCTGGAATGGAGATAAGAAACGCCCTAACCTTTGTAATAGAAATTGACAGGATTAAAATCGGCTGGTATAAATACGGATGTAACAAGACAATAAACATCAGATCCTCATCAGATCCTCGTCAGTTCCTAACCAGAACTCCGACCAGAACTTTGGCTGGAGATCCTGGCTAGAGGTCCTGACTAGGCTGCTGATCAACTGAAGGCTGTCTTCGTGTCATTCCTTCTTCGCCGACTCCGTCCACACCTTTGGGGACCCCTGGACCCGCTGGGATTGGACCCCAGCATTGACCTATGAACTAGGAGGTCATAGTTTGATTCCTAGTCAGGGCACATGCCTGGGTTGCAGTAGGGGGCATGCAGGAGGCAGCCAATGATTCTCTCTAATTATTGATGTTCCTATCTCTCTCTCACTCACCCTTCCTCTCTGAAATCAATAACAAAATTTTTTTAAAAAAGGGAGCATATAGTTGAAACCCTTAATATTTTTTTCTATTTTTTAAATAGGGGTAGACAAGAGGACACGAAAATCAAGAAGTTCACACTCTATAGTCTTCATTGTTTTTTAAATTATGAAACAAGGTTGTTTGCTGAAGGTGGGTTAAGGAAAGGGGAGGAATCCTGAGCTGCCCATTGAAGTGTTGCAAGACCTCACGTGTGCAAGGAGTAGTACCCTCTGTGTGTTAAGTTAGGTGCCTGAGGAGACACTCTCGTACATTTTCAGACCATCATGTCCCAGATTCTTATTTAGAAGCAGTTTTCTAATCTGCATTTCCCTTGAACTTTTCTTAAACTCTTCCCAGAATCTCTGCATGGAGTTGTTGGGCCAGCACCTTCCTAAGCCTCCAAGAGAATCAGGGTCAGGACTTTGGGGAAAATGATGCCCTTATCTTACATGAGAGGGAAACTGTCTTTGGGGACCTCCCCCAACACTGAATCTTGGCTTGGCTTTTGCAAAACCATACCTAACATGTTTATTTTTTTAAAATTAAAATTAGCAACCTTTGGCATTTTCTCATTCCCTTCTCTCCTTGTACCTGTTCTTTCCCTTCCTGTTGCATGCGAACTTGTTCTCACCATGAGGCAGCTAAGAATATTAATTCAAGTGAGCATGTCAGTGTCACTCTAAAATAATGAGTTCCATACTAACACACTACATTGACACGGACCATTTGGAAAATGTTACATTTTGGGAAGTAGGGTCAGAATATATTTGTTGTGATTGAATAAATACTTGCATTCACTACAGAATGAAGTCACTCCCATGCTTAAACTCTTCCAATAACTTTCCACTGGATTTAGAATAAAATCCAAAATCTCCCCCATGGTTTAAACAGCACTAAGTGATGTGGTCTCTCACCACCTTTCAGACCTCATCTCCCACATGCATTCCAGCCACAAGCCTTTGTTTCCTGCAAACACACCAACCCATCCCACCTGCGGCCTTTGTACTTGCCATTCCCTCTCCTGTCACGTGATGGCCCCAGACCCTCACTGACCTGGCTACTTCTCATGGGTTAGGTGCATCTCATTCCAAACTTGTGGATTCTATATTCTAAAAATCTCTTGAATACAGAGATTTTTTTCTTAGAATCTAAAGGCTCTTTAGCCACATTTTATGGCTCATCTTCTTATCATGACTCCGAATACAACCCACTTATATTACGCTACTTCTGTGCCCCCAACATACAATATTCTTTAATACTTTATCTTTCGCATGTTTTCTCTGCCTAAAATCTCTTCCCTCTTCTTCACCTGGTTTAGTTTATAGTCTTCTTTCAAGACATACGTCAAATGCCACCTCCTCCCCAAAGCCCTTCTTGACCTGTCCCCTACCCCCCCCAGTGAACCCCCCAGTCTGAGTTAATCAAGTTAAATGTATTCTCTACTATGGTGGGGTAATTATTTGTTAACTTGTCTGAACACTCTACACAACATAAAGCAGTGGTCCACCAAACCCTACTGTTCCCATCGATTGATACGGTGGTAACTGGTACGTGGCAGCCCAGCCAGGAATGGCATTCCCCAGCCACCGTTGCATCTTGGGGTGGCCATGTACCTAGTTCTTGCTGATGGAATGTGAGCAGAAGCAAGGCCTGCCACTCTCAGGGCAGAAATCTTTAAGCAGCAGACACACCTCCTCCGTACTCTGTCCTCTTCAAGTTCAATGCAGATGGCAGCAAGGCCTTGGGGACAGTGGAGCCACAAGATGAAAGGACCTGGCCATCAAACTTGAACACCCGCCCTGAATAATTATGGGAGAAATAAACAACTTCAAGGAATCTCTGGCTTAGAGGAATTCTCTGCACAGAATCTCTGGTAAAGAAAAGTTGTTAAGAAGAATAAATACAAAAATATATATATATTGGTTTATAGGTAAATCTGTAGAAAATTCTGTTAAATTCAGTAGCATCTGATCCTTTTATATTTCTTGGATCTTGTAAACTTTAAAATTCAAAAGGCTTATTTATATAGTTGCAGTATTTGAAGGAAGGAAGACTGAAGGTCTGGATAACTAGAAAATCTCTAAATAGCTGTTCCTTAACTACTCACTTTTTAAACAAATAGACTTACTTTTAATATCATTATTTTTTTTAAATCTTTACTGTTCAGATTACATGTGTTCCTCTTTTTTCCCCCCATAACTCCCCTCCTCTCAGTTCCCACCCCACCCTCCACCCTCACTCCCCACCGTCCTCATCCATAGGTGCACGATTTTTGTCCAGTCTCTTCCCGCATCCCCCTCACCCCTTCCCCCCCCCAAGAATAGTTAGTCCACTCCCTTTCTATGCCCCTTATTCTATTATAATCACCAGTTCATTCTGTTCATCAGATTATTCACTTGATTTTTAGATTCACTTGTTGATAGATGTGTATTTGTTGTTCATAATTTGTATCTTTACCTTTTTCTTCTTCGTCCTCTTCTTAAAGTCATTATTTTTTAAAAATGTTTTATTGATTTTTTACAGAGAGGAAGAGAGAGGGATAGAGAGTTAGAAACATTGATGAGAGAGAAACATCGATCAGCTGCCTCTTGCACACCCGCTACTGGGGATGTGCCCACAACCAAGGGACCCTTCAGTCTACAAGCCAACGCTCTATCCACTGAGCCAAACCGGTTAGGGCTTCATATCATTATTGTAGAGTGGACAGGGAATTTAAAAAATGTAAATACAGAACATTATTAATTTAAATGTTAGCAAACATCCATTTGAAATAATGTGGGTATTGTTCTGCTAAAACTGTCTTTTAAAAATAACATTTGATATACTTCATTTTGTAAAAATATAACTGTTACATTTTGAAAGAACAGACTCTTGGAAGGAATAGAGTTTTAAGCTCAAACCAGGAGAACCTTCCAAAAGTTTGAAGTCTGAAAGAAGGAAAGAAACATTGATGCGGTAACAAAGGTGGAAGGGCGAGAGGAAGGGAGAAAAAGGAGAGGCCATGCTACTTAAGGAGGTTGTTACTTTGCAGGATCAAGGGATCAATGGCACCGGAACATGGGAAAACGGGAAGAAGCAGGAGGTGGGAGGTAGGGGAGATGAACTCTTTCTGACATACACATCACATTTCAGACATCATCGGAACAGTCACACAGGCAATATAAATCTGTAGATAACATGAGTCTAAAAGGTCAGGGATGGAGAGAGAGGCTTGGTAAAACCCTGAATGACTTGGCCTAGCAGAGTGATGGCATCTCTTGAGGAATGTCCACCACACAGGGGTGAAAGAGAAGTCAATAGGCACAAATATGAAACCAAATTTACTAATGAAAGGGAGAGATGCTCTGACACATATTTCTTTTTTTAAGTACATTTTTATTTATTTTTAAAATATATTTTCATTGATTTCAGAGAGGGAGAGATAGAAACATCAATGATGAGAGAGAAGCATTGATTGGCTGCCTCTTGCATGCCCCCCACTATAGATCGAGCCCACAACTTGGGCATATGCCCCGACTGGAAATCCAACAGTAACCTCCTTGTTCATAGGTCGACGCTCAACCACGGAGCCACACCGGCTGAGCCATATTTATTTCTGACAGATCTTTGGGCCATTCCAAGAATACAAAGGTCAGAAATTTTATGACTAAAAGCAGAAATACCCACATGTGATGTTATTAACACAGCACGAGCTATTTGTTTATAGATCTTTCCTACCAGATTAAGCAATCTAGGAACATATATAGTTTCATTCTCTACATCCCTGCCCCCTAGCAGTTTCCAAGACTTGGTAGGTACTCTGTTGAATTTTATTATGCTGATTATATATATATATATATATATATATCCAAAGAACATATTTTGGGACACTAGACAAGGGGAGTGAGGAGATACACACACATCAACAAATCATTTGTAGCTAAAGTATTGTCATAAGGAAACTAGATAAGCACTTAATGGATTTTTGGCCAGGTTACTGGTGCACTGTATGCTGCTCACGTCATTGTGTTTCCTGTGAGCCCAAGGAGGGTGGGAATTCTCACTCTGCTTTCTTGCTGTCTGGACTCATGTACTTACACGTTGGTCAGCCTGACACGGTGAGGGAGCAGATAACTAATAAATCTCTCTGCAACCCATTTCTTCAGTGTCTTAAATGAAATGAACAATGTGGGTTTAAATTCCAGAGACCTATATAATTTCTTCCCCAAGGTCTTCCTTCAAAAAACTTTTTTAAAAAGGAAAATACATAACACTGTCACCTTTTCCTGAATCCCTAATGGGCTAATAAGCAAGCTGGTATGATTACACTTTGAAGGAACAAAAATACTTTAAAAAAAAAAGCCCAAGTTTTCCTTTGACTTTAATGAGTAGACTTCCAGCTCATTTTCTTTAAAATACTGGCCCTGAATTGCAAATTACTTCATGGTCTTTTTTAAGTGAGCTCTTCCTAGACTGACAGAGCCAGCTGCAGTGCACTGTCTATGGAAATGATATCATCAGCACTCTGCCCTTGAACCAGACACACTCTCACACCTGGCTCCTTTTCACACAGCAGGAACAGAATATGTGCTTACTTACAGCCATGCTACTCAGAAAGGCATCACTTCTACACTCTACCTGTTGGCAACTTAATCAAAAGAAAGTTTGGCATGAATTTGCTGAATCATCTTTTAAAGTAAAAGTTGTTTTAATTTTAATACATTGCTAATGTTTAAAGTGTTAGCTTGTTTTCTAATATTCAAACATGTTAATTATAATTAATTTTGATACTGTCACACTAGAAAATTTTAATTTGTTTACATTCATTATTCATTAGATATATTTATGTCTTATACTTCTCTGTCCAACTTACTATCCAAATTATGACTAGCATTGTTTAATTATAATTAGATAACAATTTATTAATTTGTTAAATAAAAATATAAACATTTAAATTACAACTAAGTCATTTTCATAACTGGCATAAAAGTTAGACTTTGCATTCCCACAATCCAATTCCCTATAGAATGCCACTGTTAACCACTTACTGTAGTTTCCGTCTGACTTTTACTCATATGTCAACTTTACTTTTTCATGGATGGGCTAATATTCATTTTAGGGATAGCAAATGATTTATCTGAATAAAATGACTCTGTTATTTAATTAAATAATAATATAAGAACAAAATAGTTTAAAGCCATATTCACCACAAAAATATGTAAATTTATGCCATACATTTTATTACAGTAACGTTCTTCTCTGGCAAATATATTAATAAAGTAGTTCATTAAACTATAAATTTTAATTTGGCTCTTATTCATCAAGTACAAAAACAAGTAGCTGATTTTATAATCTCAAAAAGATTTTACATTTTCATAAAAAAATGAGTGCCACTCTCTACAATACATTAAGTTTTATTAAAATGAAGCCAAAGTGTTAACACATTTACATATACTAATAAGACCATTGAGCATTTTAAAGTTATCACTTCTTTCTATCTAGGTAAATCAATCTTTTCCATGTTTTGTCTATTACCTTCCTACTTTTAAAAAGTGAACACACATTAATAAATTTAATGATCAATGTAAATTTTAAATTAAATTTAATTTCCATTAAACTGCCCTTATTTTCCACCCTGTAATATCATGGGAACTTACAGAAAATACACAGAGACAAAACATTAATTTTATGTTTTTGTTTTACATGCAGTTCCACAGAACATCACCCACCTATGAAATGTGAACAGAGCCTTGCGTGCACAGAAGCTGCCTGAGTTCATCACCAGGCTGTCTCCAAGGCCAGCGCTGGCTTACTGTGCCACCTCTTACACAAAGCCTCTTGACTCACCCACTGAAAATACCTTTTATTCTCTCACTGCATTTTGCTTGTATCTTTTAAAAATAACCATCTGAATGGAGATTATCTATGCTCAAGAGTCCTTTAAAAGTGATAAAATTATCAAGTGATGGAGATTCTATCAAAATCCTTGAAACTTGCAGTTGAGGTTGCAAATGTTACTGCATCAGTGAATTAACTTTTACTAATCATCTTCATCTCTCTTCAGAATGTACAAAAAAATAATGGAAATATGGTAGAATATTATTTGGGAGTCTAAATACTAGAAGCTTCCAAACATTGGAAGTATTTCAAAAAGATTTCATCAGTTTGAAGCAGATGATTTTGCAAGAATGTAAGGCATGTAGTGATGTGAATGACTGGTCACTCAGCCCAGCTCATGGTATCTTCAAAAGGTTGGTATCAGTCATAAGGAACATATTAAAAAAGACTACCAGAGGCTATTTCATGCTGTAAAAATCTCATTCTTTTCATGGGACAAAGGTTATTTACTAACAAAAGGAGGATATTTCAGATGTGAAAACTAAAAAACAGGAGGGCATGAAGGATCATGAAGATGACTCAGCTCTTTTTCCAGAAGCGCTGTTTGTAGCATGAACTATTTCAATGTCTGTGGATGCTGATTAAACTCTGGTACATTCCTGACGTTCCTAGATGCAGATCCATACAGAATTCAAAGAAATATATATATGTTTTTTATTGATTTCAGAGAGGAAGGGAGAGAAAGAGAGAGACAGAAACATCAATGATGAGAATCGCTGACTGGCTGCCTTCTGCAATCAAGCCTGCAACCCAGGCATGTGCCCTTGACTGAAATCAAACCAGAGACCCTTCAGTCTGCAGGCCGAAGCTCTATCCACTGAACCAAACTGGTTAGGGCTTTCAGGCCATTTTAAGGAAATAAGTTTGATTTCTACCATAAGAATTAGTGAAAAAAACATATAATCACCTTGAATCACTTTTAAAATAAGGCAGAATTAGCTGTGGCCGGTGTGGTTCAGTTAGTTGAGAGTCATCCCGTGCATTGAAAGGTCGCCGGTTTGATTCCCAGTCAGGGTACATGTCCAGGTTGCCAGTTTGATCCCTGATTATGGTGGATGTGAGAGGCAGCCAATCAATGTTTCTCTCTAACATTGATGTTTCTTTCTCTCTCTCTCTCTAAAAATAAATAGATAATTTTTTTTTAAAAAAGGCAGCATTCAATAAGAATTGAGATAAGAATGGAGCAGTATGCTATAATCACATAGGTAAGAAAAACTATCCATGGAGGAAAAACCCCCACAAAAATATTAATTCATTCATTCGTCACAACATATACATTGAACACCTGTTATATACCAGGCACCATACTCAGCACTGAGAGATATAAACTAGTAAACACAACACTTATGGTCAAGTATGGTCACTAGTGCCTCGGAGCTTACGTTCTAGTGAAAGGGAGAAAGACCAACATTCAAATAAGCATGTGCATGTGGGTGACTCCTCTCCCCCAACCTTTTCCCTCCTCACTTCTGTTCACTATCAACCATTCACTTTAATAATATAAATTTTAAATGACTCAACTTTCCTCACATTTTAAGGCAAATTAATC